GTGGTAACAATCGTAAAGATCGAAAGGAAGGATCTCAGCGGAGACAAAGAGTTTGTCAGACAGGTGGAGAAGGACAAGGAGAGATAGGACCGACATGGTAGAGTACCCTTTTCTGAGCAAACTTATTAGACGGAAGTTGAATAGGGACCTCGTGACCTTCGAGTTAAGAAAACTAGAGAAGACAGCCGAAAAAAGCAGAAATCTGATTCAATGCATTATCCGTCGACCATTACGAATCTGAATAACGGGTATGGCGCATTAACGTCTGACAGAGCTGAGATGTAGCTTATCTGGAACCACCGATCTCCTTGCGTCCAAGACTCGCGTTCTCGTATCATTACTGCAACTTAGAAGGAAGTTCACTCCCGATCCTCACAAACAAAGTTTGCCAAGCCACGCAGCACATGAAGGAAGGAAAAGCCCCAGGAAGAGACGGCCTGACAAATGAAATGCTCCCACATTGTGGAATGGTCTAGCGGAGAGGTCCAGTCGCTATATTCTAGTTGGAAACGGACTGGATACCATCAAGCTGAAAGGAGTCGAAAACAATCGCGTTGTTCAAGAAGGGTGACAAGGAGAATTTGAAGAACTTTCGCTAATCTGCTTGCTTTCACATGTTAAGAAGCTATTCACTAGGTTCATCACCAACAGGCTGTCAAACGCTGTACGAACCGCCCCGAAAGAACAGAAAGGATTCTGAAAGAGCTGTTCTACAGCATAATGGACAGCGTACTTACCTTTAGACAACTCCTCGATTGCAAGAGAGAATTCCGGCTCCTTGAATTAATTTCGTTGATTACTAGAGATCGTTCGACATCGTCAAGCACAACGCAGAACTGCAATGGCAGAACAGCGCATAGACACCCGTTGCATTGACTTGCTAATTGAAGCGAACTCTGGCTGCATCTCAAGCGTCACGCATGTCGCCGCCTCCTCCAGATTCCCATAGAGAAAAGGCGAAACAGTGACCTCTAAGTCTAACACTATCTCTCTGAAAATGGAGTTCTGAATGATGAACTGGAAGGCTAGGATTGGTATCAATTAGTCATTACAACTTCATTGATGAAGTCATGCTATTTGCAAAAAACACTAGTCAGCTACAAGACATGCTGTAGGAACACGAGAGAAACAGTGCAGAAGTCGAACGCCGAATCAATCGGGTCAGTGACGAAGACACTATGACCAGATGCCTTGCTGAAAGATCGAAGAAGTAGGTAAATACGTTTATTAGCTGGGCCTTGAGATCAATATGCGACATGATGAAGCTAGAGAGATTCAACGAAGGAAGATGGCCAGTTAGCGCACAATCTATTCCTTCGACGGCTTTCGGAAAATCCGAAAAGAAACCCGCGCCCGCATTTTCAATTCTAGCGTCCTGACAGTAATGTTGCTTGGCTGTGAGACATGGTCACTCGCTAAAGCCGAAGAGTGCCAGCTATCTGACACCGAAGCCACTGAAAGAAGAATGTTGGGAATTTCAAATCGAGACTTCATCTTTAACACGATGTGATCAGACGGCGGAAGGGAGTGAAGGACGTTGTCGTCGTCGTAGGATGGGAGAGGCTACGGTTAGCAGTACACGTAGTCCCACTCACCGACGGGAGATAGTCGGCGATGACTGTCAACAGGTACTTTTGCAGCCAAACTATCCCGCCTTGGTTGTCCACCATAATGGTGGGAAGATTATATCAGGAACAAGGAAGGCCTCACCTGGAGTGGGAAGGCTCGAAACTACGATTAGTGGCGGCCGTTTGCAGCTGGTGCGATTCGTCGCCGATTACCGGCCGTTTCAAGTGATCCAAGTGAATATGCATGATTATATCAAGTCAAACATACTGTCTTTTGCGCGACTGACATCACATTAACATGTTTTATAGGTAAGAAAACAAATAGAATATAATTCATACAGAAAAATTAAGCCCGATCTTATGGGTTTACTAACACACTACCAGTTTTTTGATACCGAAGCTAAGATATAAAATCCTTTTCAGTTTTTGACACCGGACTGAAGCGGCGTAAACACCGATTAGAAACAAGGGGCCGGTGCTTACGCTGCTTCAATCCGGTGTCAAAAACTGAAAAAGAGAATACAGATCAGTTTGCAAATTACATGATCACATTACAGCATCCATCGAATACTAATCGACCTGTGAGTTAAAATTCCTGTTATATCCAGCTCGACGAAACGAGAAGCGTGTTCAGGTGACATTAACTGCTTCAAGCCCTTCTAAGGACTGTGCTTGGATGCTCTAAACAGACTAGGGCACAACTTTGGCGATTTCAGCTGCCTTTTCTTTTTAGTTATTTTTATCAACTTTACGATTTGGAAACGTCACAAGTGCTTAAATTCTATGCAATAGTAAACATATTAGTCCATACTGAAGTAGGCGCATTAATGAACAAGGTACGCTATCAAAATCCAATGGAGCTGCCTAAAATGGCTTTCATTTAAAAACGATTTCCGACAAATGATATTTTCAAATTTTTGCCTTTCCCTTTCCGCTCTGTTTTTGAACTTGAACTTAAAAAGAACCCTGAAACACACAAGGAGAGTAATTTAGGCTTAAGCACAACGTAGTTGTGTATGTCGAATAAAATATGTAGTAAATTTGATATACGAGAAAACTGCCTTTTTATGGCTATTGCTCTTCTTAAATACTGCAAGAATTTTCAACAGTAGTGGCGCACTCACGCAGTATCAGATTCATCACGACGAAAATGCAGCAACACAAATCAAACACCCTAGAAATTTCATTTTCATTGTTTTCAGCCCGTGGGTCAGTCACCCTTGATTCAGACAAAATCTCTGGCAATTTATTAAAGACTTCGATAATTACAGCAGCAATATTTTCTGCCAGAATTCTTTTGCATCTCAAGGAACTTGAGAAGCTCGATCATCCCTGTTGCATGCACGGGTATCTGGTATAACTCTTTTCACATAAGATCAAGAACTAGTTTGAGTTACTGTTCAAACGGAAAGTTCAGAGGATCATCGGCATACAGTAGCAAAACAGCATAAGGCAT